ATTGGTGACTAATTTCTTCTTCTGTAATGCATATTTAAATACTGTACAGAATACAGTTTTGAGCTGTATCATGTTCATCATTACAACAGTAGTCTCTTGTTTATGTTTCAGTTTGAAGACTTTTAAGTCTTTAGTGGTCAGTTTGTTTGCCTGTTTTTTGCAAGGTTAAAGATGTATGTGTGAGCACTGTTTTATGATACAGTACCTTCAGGAAAACCCACTAAACCAATACTTTTGCTACCATCCCTGCTCCACACTGCCTCCAACAGTTTTCACTGTCTCAAGGATTTATTTTAAGATTAATTATCTTAAACAGGGTCTATGTTTGTGCTTCATATTAAAGGTTTCTACTGCCACTTGTGCAATGGGCAATGATATACTGGATTTGCTATATAAGGTGATTGCAGAATGTTAGTCTGGCCTGTTTTATAACTTGCAGTAGGTAGCATGCCCTCCTGATTGTGGAATTGAAATAAAATCACTAACAGATGGCTTCCTCAAAAACGTATCTGAGTCAATTGTTAATCTGCCAATTTCGAACTCCTTACTCTGGAACAGTGTCACCATTCAAATGTGAGATTTTTTACATTTTTGTAGAACTGTTATGAATTATCTGTGTGTTAAATGCTTTTATGTTTCAAAGTTGGAAGGAGAGGACTGGGGAAAGAGATTTGTTTCACGGCCTGAGTTTATATCTAACAAGTGACTGTTAACCTACTTACAATTATTTCTCACAAAGTATTACATTTCTTCGGACCTTAAAAGGTAATGTCCTGTACATTCAGAATTCGGTGCCTTCTTTCAAATACTAGTTATGACACTGCAGTTTTATTCACTTAATGTAAGTCTACTTCAGAAGTCAAATCATAAGTGTGGTCATACCCTGGGTTAATTAAGGCAAAAGAAAGAGTGTATAGCTCAGTTTCTGTATGTTCAGTGGGTGACTGCTGTTTGAAATGGTGAAAGGTGAATTGCACAATACTGGATAAAGAAAAACACTGCATAGTATTTGAAGAGAGAGTCCCCAACACTAATATTTAATTAGCTGTCAGATGGATCATAAATCCCTTGTTTACTTTATTTCCTGCATTTTATCACTCACCCTCTGTCATCAGCTCTCTTGGCTTCTATCTAAACCATCCTACCTCATTTTCACGGCTACACTGGGATCCCACAGCCAATCTGGTTTGGTCAGAGATTTCTAACAGCACACAATCTACTGAAACTCACCACTGGGTTTTAGCTGCAGATTTGGGGATGAGGTGTTCTGAACAAAATGAAAGTGCACAGTGCCTAATTTTTAACCCAAAACAAGAAATGTACATATCTGACAACACTGACATTTTTATTATTACAAAATGTTACCTGCTTCCTGTTTAGGCTTTCAGCCCTGCACAACCGTCATTAACCAAGTAAGAGAAATAAAACAACAGGTTAGTTTAAGAAGCATTTCCGATGATTTTGACTTCTAATATCAAAAGTGTGACATGAAATTTGCTTTTAGAATCCCTCCTGTATTGGTTGTAAAGGCATGCTTTTTAGGTGTAATAAGAAAAAAAAGCTGTGCTACTATACCGTCATGTGCATTTCTTTCATAAAAGCAATTGCAGTAGATACTTCAAAACAGTGTAAAGTATGTTATAACAGGAAAGTTTAATGCTCTTCACTTTATTTTCTTTTGTAAATGCATGAATCGATTCAACAGTCAGTTCAAAACAAAAAATATAGCAATTTACTCGATTATTGTATTTCAGTATTTGTGACCTCCCCTTGACTCTCAACATTTTTATTCTCCATTTAACTGTTCAGTAACCCAGCATGGGGAGAAAACAGACACTACGATTTTTTGCTCATTTAGTAGAGGATGCCAGTTATTTTCTGAAAAAAAAAACTGTTTACATTAAGGATACTGTATGTTCCCACATCATCCATTTGACAGCAGTTACCATTTTTGGAAAGATGTTCTCTCACATTCTGTACCCAGATTGATTATTCCCCATGTTACTCCTCCTCCAGCACACACAAACAATATACAAAGAGTGGATCAAGTGTTATTGGAAGGTGTTAGTAAGCTCAGAACACTGTTGGTAACTTGTTTTATCTGCTCCTCACTGAGCAGCAGTGATAAGGAGCATGAAAAATCTACTTAATAATACTGCTGGTGTATCCAGCACATGACCAAACACAGCTCCCTCAAATGAGCCCACAACAACAACATCAACACAATCCCTGGACCGAATCCTTAGGAGCAGTTGGCCGCACGATAAAAGCGTCCGTGGTACGCTTGTGATTTAAAATAAAACAGGACATAAATGAACATCACCGTAGAAAGGATGGTTTTGGAATGAAGCGGGTTTATTAGCAGAAGGTCAAAAGTGTTTCCCTGGAAACCCTCAGAGGGAAGAAAATGCTGCCAGTTGTCAATTGTTTCTCAGTAAATGAGATTAGTGGCTCATTGGTTATGTGAGAGCATTTTAAAAAGAAATGTTTCATTTGTCACTGCTTCAGTAAGCCTGTTTTGGTGTCTAAGGTTCAAGTCAGTGCTTGCTCTTTTGTCATTGGGGTACGTAATTCTTCACATACTGCATATTCTTAATGTCCATAGTGCTGAGTTGTTTTAATAATTAATAATGATGTGTTTGTGATATTACATACACTCTACTTTCAGGATGTTTGTCATGTGGGTTTTTGAAAGGTGCTCTGATTTCCTCCCACCTTATAAAGAAATGCTGGTATCAACTTTATCATCTGATTGCCATTACCCTTAGCAGGCATATGTACTTTTCTGATCATGGATAGACCTCGGATATATAAAATGTCTTAATCTGGTGGTGTATAGAGAGTTTGTAGGCTCTTTAGCCTTGTCTAAGTGTGTGCTGCACAATGCTTAACAATAGTTGTCTGTTGTTTTAATTCAACATGACATTCAAAAAGCCATCAGACTACCATAGCTGATTAAATATTATGTGGAGCGTGCATGTCGGAGTACAGTAGCTGTCACATTTCAGTGGTTTAACAGGAAAGACCCTCACTCAGTTGCAGATACATGGATGCCTATGTTAGTGGCAATATTAGCAAAGTTTGTTTCTAAGGTCACATTGCAGAGCTATTTAGATTCACTGTAATGAAAGCTAAAGTAATAATGAGGAAGGCCTATTTATTTCCTTAAGACATTTATACTGTACATGTGCTTTTGCCTTAGTAATGTACACAGTACTATAAAAGCAGTAATAAAGTCAAATATTTAATATTTTACATTGGACGGGTTTTGTTTATCTACATTTTTGTACTCAAAATAAGATATACATGTTGTATAATGTCTACAGGGTAAGTAAAGAATAGTTACCATATGTTTACTAAGAATTTCAAGTTGCAAGACATCCAGTAGCTTAGCACTAAGCAATAAGGTAAGCACACATACTGTAGGACCATGGAACATTCTTTATTTTTTCAAATTTGTTTTCATCATTTTTAGATGTGACTGAGGGGCACAACACTTACCAATATGCAATATCATGTTGACATCTTTTTTCTGCAGTGTAACTTTACAGAACTGTCAGACGCACTATCAGCAATCAGTATTGTCTTCAAGATTATCAGAGGACTTGTGAAGTTTGTTTTGGCTTATTTCTGCAGTTTTCATGAAAACCTCTTATATTGAACTGCTTGCAGTGCAGTGCATTTATCTGAAAAGCAAACCGGTGTGTCTTGATTAAAAAATTATGTTTGACCCACATTTGCATGTATCCCTTTGGTTTTCATTACTGCAAACTAATTTCATATTGGGAAAAGCTCATTTAAAACAAGATGTAGTGCAAATATCACACAATGATTTAATTACCCATACTTTTCAGAATCATGCAGGTAGTTTGTCTGAGAATGTTGTGCAAATAAAGTTTATAATTGCTTCCTCTGGAAGCACAATGAAGTGAATACTTGATTGCTTAAATGTCCTGTGTAAAGTGAACAACAGTATACTTTTAAGACCACACTTTGCTCATTGTCTGATGTATTAAAACATGGATTATATCCATCCAACCTTTTTCTAACTGCTTAATCCATTTCAATGTTTTATGGGAGCAGAAATCTATTCCAGAAAGCAATGGGCACAAGGCAGGATACACTCTGGATTCGGGGCCAGTTTCCCTAGAAGCCAGTTAACCAACCGGATTGTCTTTGGACTGTGGGAAGAAACCAGAGCACCCGGAAGAAACCCACGCAAATATGGGCAGAGCATACAAATTCCTTGCAGATAGCACCCCAGATCCACAGTTGAACCTGTGACCACAGAGCTGCGAGGCAGCAATGCTATGGATTATATATAAATTTGAAATGTATATGTAGAATATAAAATAATACAAAATGATGCAAATGTGTATATACTGTATAGGAACAACTTTCAAGCAACATGGCCTGTTTTCTTCTCACAGAACAAAACCCTTACGCTGGAGTGTTTCTGTATTTCTGTAAAGGCTTCCAAGGAATATCATAGCCATTTTCACTTTCTTATCCATGTCGGAATGTGTTCAATGCATAGATGTTTTCTGTTCAAATCCATGGTAAAAAATGAAGTATGGCAGGATGAGATGGTGTGGCCTCCTGAAGTTTTAATTTATGTCCTCTGAGCCTTATATCCTCAGTCATCATTTATGCCTTATAACTTTCCAGTCACTGATCAACTGAAGCAAAGATTATTTGCAACAGCAACATTTTTCAAGACAATGCATTTTCTACAGAATGTTTTTTCTGAAACATATGGAAGATTATAGCCAATATGCATGCATTAATTTATTTTCAATTAGTATCACTGAAGGTGTCTTAATACAATATGTGTCCCCAGTGTATACACTGCATATATTCTTAATGGAAAATTCTTAATTCTTAACCAGGAAAGAAGGTGCTAAATAATACTTAGTAGTATTCATGTGACACAATTTAAGGAATAATGCATAATGATTCTGTTCTCATCCAAATTGATCATTCTTTTTACTTTCCTTCAGGTGTGGGTGGATGCAGGAACTCAGATCTTCTTCTCGTACGCAATCTGTCTGGGCTGTCTCACTGCACTAGGAAGTTATAACAGTTATAACAATAACTGCTACAGGTAATGTGAAAACATATCTTCATTGAAAGTGAAGTGAGTTAAAGTGAACCAATACGTTTCAAATTGGGAACTAAGAATACTGTTGTTTTACAGGTTCTGTGCATGTTATGCTACAGTACAATGTCAATGCAATCATATTCCAGCTGCAATATTTAAAATAAAAACACCAGAAGCACAAACCATCAGTTTCTTCAAATATACTGTACATTTGTAAGGTGCTTAATATAATAGGTCCCCCTTGGCTAGAGCAGCCCCAAGGATCTGCTTACAAAAAAAAAAACACAAAGGTGTTCAAAGTCAAGTACTTGAGGCTTTATTGCAGACTTGTTCAAAGATTACAATAAAAAATTAAAACAGCTCTCTCATGCCACAATCAAAACCCAACCATCACTAACAGTGTGCATGCTTTTTTAAAAAACAATTTAATAAAACCCATGTGTGTGCACTTTTACAGTATGTCCCTCAAGAATAATCTAGTACAAAATCGACACTGGATCTATTTACAGAAATTAGAGGCCCAGCCCAGTGGCGGCCTCTAGTGACAGATTGTTTTGTAATTGCAAGCCTTTCTTTGTTAGGCCCACCACAGTGCTGTATGCATTTATTTTCTTTTATTAAGGGTGTCACAGTGGTAATGTGGTTGATACTGCTGGCATAAAACTCTTGTCCTGTGTCCTTAAAATTCTGGGTTCTGGGTTTGATTCTGGTTTGGGATACCATTTGTGTGGTATTTGCATGTCCGCCCTGTTTTCATGTGTGTTTTCTTTGGGTGTCTTATTTCTGCCTCCTTTTAGAAATGTGAAGGTTGGGTTGGGTTTGATAGACTGCTTTACGTGGTTCACCTCCAGCTTTTACTCCCCATTCCCTGCTTGCTGACTGAACACAGTGTGATATGCTGTCTCCTGATCATGTTTGTCACATGCAAGAAGTGCTTATGAGTTTGCTTTATAATAGTGAGATAACTCATTTAATTATCTTGTAAAACAAAACTTAACAGAGTGATATGCATCTACAGTGTACTGTGCAAATTAGGAAGCTTTTATTTTTCTTTGTACTGTTGATCAAAGTAAAAAATGTGTCTTTGTATAGGGATTGTATTATGCTGTGCTGTCTGAACAGTGGGACCAGTTTTGTGGCTGGTTTTGCCATTTTCTCTGTGCTGGGATTCATGGCCTATGAGCAGAATGTTCCTATAGAAGCAGTAGCAGAATCAGGTACGTTCTCTATTAGAAAATGTTTTTGTTCAATAAGTGTGACATATAACTGATAAAAAGTTACTTCAAAAGTCATCAATTGTAATTTATTAGGGCCACTGACAGGCATTTTATGCCAATCTTTCTTAAGATAGGATTACAATTTGGTTGACATACTGTATGTTGGCAATTTAATTTATGTTTGCTATACATCTCTTCAGGTAAAACTGATTTCATTGTGTTAATTGGACATATAAATAGATCATTGAGCACAGACGTAGCTATTAGTCATGACTTTAATTAACGTACCATGCCCTGCTTGAGTAATGAAGATTGTCTGGCTGCTATCAGCATGATTAAAAGCAGTCTGTGAGAGAAGTTGCCTGGAGAGCATGATGTTTTGCTTCAACAATCAGTACATTAGACACACATCCTGAAAGGTAGAGCGGTATGAGCCCAGAATTGCCACATCCACCTGATCCATTTTCATGATGACTGCACAAGACATTCCATGAACAAATAGCCCACATCTGAACAGACTGTATTTCACCAACTACATAAAATAATCTGCATGCTTAACAGCTGTTCAGGGGAATCTATTGACAGCTGATAGACAGAATTGATATCGTTGTGTGGGTAAGATAATATCTAAAGTGGTGACAGAGTCAGTGTCGCAATGTTTTATTCAATGAAGAATGGTGTTGCAGTTTCAACAGAAGGCAGTTTGTGTGGAGATATGATGGTAGGTGTGAAGCTGATTTTTGCATTGTTGAAGCATAAAGATGGTAACTGACAACTGGCAAGAAGATGGAAGTGTGATTGTCTTGATCTGAGGAGGAATCTTTAAGACAAGAACACCTCTGGTCAGATTGAGTATAACCTTATTCCTTAGCAGTACATAACCAAATATCTTGTCAGTCTGGAGGTTTTGATTTTCTAACAGAAGAATGCATGACAATACAGTTCTAGTTTTACAATGGGCACAACTTCCAGAAAACAAGTGTTGAGGTCTTGCTATGCCCAACTTTGTTTTCTGAGCTTAGACCAGGATCTGTCTCTAGAGTTAATTGTAGAGCCGATTCACTGTGAAGAACAACTGCAGCCTTCACCAGCACAAGACAAGAATATCACAGCATTTTGTCCAGAGGCAGATCAGGTCTGTGTGTCAGTGTTGGTAGGAGTGCTAATGTCCAGAATGCTCGTATCAATACTACCTTTGCAATGTTTTTATTTTGACTGTCTCAAATTTCATCTGAAGGTTTATGATTCAATAATCTGTCATTTTGCTCCCATTGTCTGGGATTTTCTTTGATATTCATATTTAGTTGTTATATCCTTATTTGTTTAAATTCATTAGACCTGAGAGGTGTTTGTTTTGTACTTCAGTGTCTGTAGTCTGTTTGCTTAAGAAAATTTTGTTGTTAAAGGTTATAGGCAAAAATCCAACATGATTAAATATGAGTATTTCAAAAAAGCTTTTCACAACAAGAATGTTCATGTTTATCTAACTGTCACTTTAAAACAAAATTGATCTTTTTCCTCCCCGTGGCAGTGAACATTATTACACAATTGCTATCATAAAGGCTTTGCAGGTTAAAAAGATCCACGTCACCATAGCAACCAGTTCTGAGATGTTTCTTTGTCAAAACCCTTAGGAGGGTCTACTGTTGCCCACAGAAAGTGTGCACTCTTTTATTCTAAGATAAAGGAAAATATAGCTTTTCATTTCATCAGACTGTAGCAGCCCTGTACCTATCTGGTCACTGCAGGTGATTTCTTTCTCTTCTTCATCTTTCACCTCTGTAGCATTTGTATTTACATGTGTTTTAATAAATCAGACCAGTTAGTTGGCAACTGGCTATTAACAAGGTGTAACAGATTCCCCCCTTATAGGCAGATCACCATGGGGAATCTGCACATAAACTCTGCCTGAGCACAAGGGAGATTAAATAGCCCAAGGAACCACACTGCTTTTATCCTCAGCCACCCTTGTGGTTTACCTATTCTGCTTATTTTCTTCCCTGTTTTCACCCCTGAAGCAGTGGAAAATCGTCACCCAGTCGATTCTGTTAGGTCGGTCTCACTCTTATTTGTCATTCTTACTGGTGAGCCGACACAGAAACGACCGAGGCAGCTACTAGGCAAGACCAGTCTTCGCCAGACTGCACTCCACCTAAAGAGTGTGTAAAAAGTTTGGAACAAATGCTTTTCAAGGATCTCACTCTGAGATCTTTTAGCACTCACTACCCAGCATGGCTGTGAGGATCGTTTCAGACCACCTCTGACTCTTCCCTGAGTGCTTTTATGGGCAGCTGGCATCTCCAGGTGCACCCAATTCCCCATTTGGGAATGCAAGGAATGTATTCCTGGACCTGTTGCAATGCCGCCCTCTGGTGGTTCAACCCCATTGCCATCGTCCTGGTTCATCTGCTCTGCTACACAAAAACAAATAACAGGGATAAAATCTATGAAGTGACAGTACCAGCTTTCTTTCAAATACAGTTACACATGCAGCTGTCTTATCAATTCCACTAATACTGAATGTGTTTGTTTTAGGACCTGGTCTGGCCTTTATTGCTTACCCTAAAGCCGTCACGATGATGCCTTTATCACCATTATGGGCAACACTGTTCTTCACGATGCTCATCTTTCTCGGATTAGACAGCCAGGTAAAAGAAAATAACGGTGATACCACCGAAGCTCTCTCAACAAGGGCATTTCTTCCATGTTGACTTGACTTTTGAATTTGGCCCTGAACAGGGCGTGCTCATCGTGGCCTTCCTGAAGTTCCCCCTCAATATAACGGGTGATGCAATTTCTCATGTCTCCTTCAGATCTGTATAGTGGGGCTGCTGGTGCGTAATGGCTGCCACAGGTAACCCAGGAGGGCGCTGTACTTCAGTGATGGTTGATGCATACAGTATCTCCCCCTGCAGTGTATGTAAAGCACTGTGAGATCTTTTGGGATAAAAAGTGCACTATAAATGCAATGGATCATCAATAATAAATAGAATGATGACCATCTCCATTCCTATCTGGAACTACTTTAAACTTCTGGTATACTTTTTATACTCTTGGTGTCCCTTTGCATGTCAGAGACAGCAGATGTACAAAGGGCTTGTCTTGGTCTAATAACTCCTATACCAAACACTTAAAGCCCACCATCCAAAAAAGGTTGGATTCAATAATTCATTCAAGAAATTCCGATGAATACTGTACAGCTTTTTAATAACAATTCATAATGCAACGTATAGAGAGATGATTAAAATGCAATGATACTGTTACAGCACAAGAGAGGCATAAAACATACTGTTGTGGCAGTTAAAGTAAGAAGTAGCTAATTAATATATTTACAGAGTCAATGTGGCTTTTTAAATGATCTTCCATGTAAAATAGATCTGTGCATTATGATTTTCAGTTTCCAGAAAAACTGTATGGAATTGTTAGAGATTATATATTAAACATTAACGATATTGAGGAAATAGGTGGTGTACCATTCCCACACACTCACACACAAACATTCATCTTCTTCTCATCATCAAAACACCAAAAGCAATCCACGTCCTTTGCAGCCTTCGAACTTTTTTTAACATAGCAACCAACCAACCAATCGCATTGCACTGTTATCTAAAATGTGTTATGCTCTTGCTCTCCTGCTCATAACTGCACATGGAAACAGAAATCTAAACATGAAATGCCAATTTCTGGAATTATCGGAGATGTATTTTAACTGAAGGAAAATGGACAGAATGGACACCCAAAGTGTCTTTATTTGCCAGACTGCTCAGTACAAATCTCTATATCCAGCAGAGCTGTTTCACTACAAACCATGATGACATCGACACAGAATTATTAATTACAATATCTTCAATATTTCCCTACATAATTGCACTAATGTGGGATGGCTTAGCATGGTGGGTAATCCTTTGGATTCATGACTGACAGGTTGACACTACACACAGCGTGGTTTACCTTGATTGAGGCACTTTACCTTAGTTGCCCCAGTCCCCTCAGCTATTGTAGAGTATATACAGTAACGGTGTTGGGGGAGTAATCCCTGCGAACTGGTGTCCCATTCAGAGAGGGAGGGACATGCTTTCTAGTCCATTTAACACTACAAAATCAAGATGAGCACTGGCCCAACAAGCCTCTATTGCATTGGTATGGACTTCTTTAAACATTAATTCGACTTTTGTGTTGAATTAACTTCACTCCATATGTAATACGATATGAAATATTATAACACATATATATTTTAATAATTATCTTGATAATGATATTCTACCGATTTAATCAATTAGAACCTTTTAATTTAAATAAAGGCTTTACTCATAAAAAGCCTAAGGTATCTGCTGATAAACCTTAAGTGTTTAAAGTGTACAAAAAAAAAGCCATGTGGCTCTTTTTAAGTGCCAGTTGTGTTAAAAATGTGGTTTGGGTTGACTGTTTTAACCTGTTTAATATTGTGTTTGGGTTGTTTATTTTGCACTGTTGGCAGTTTGTCTGTGTGGAAAGTCTGGTGACAGCAGTAGCGGATATGTATCCTAACATGTTCCGAAGGGGACACCGAAGAGAACTCCTGATTCTTGCTCTGTCGGTGGTTTCGTACTTCATTGGATTGATAATGTTGACAGAGGTAAGATCATTCTTTCTCATGAGTAATTGGCTTACTTTCCAAATACACAAGTGAAACAGTCAAGTCAGAGTGGTTTTTCTTATTTTTTCCGTATGGGGGCAAGTAACCCCTGCTGCAATTTTGTGAATGTGGCACCAGCTTTTAGCTAAAACCCATGTGTAATAAGCCGTGTGAAAGGACATGAAATTAAGTTAGACACTACTACTGGTCCTTTGTTTTATTATTCGCTGGTATGATAAATTTCACCTGTTCGGTGATAGCTTTGTTTGTTATACTTTCTATATATGAATAAATATTCACAAGGCAAAGAATGGTTTGGGACAAATGTGGATACTAAAACACTATCAGAAAGCTCACAAAAGCCCTGTGGTTCCTCTTAATATCCAAGACCAAGTCTGTGCTGCTTGCTGCCTGCTTTATAATATGACTGGTCAAACACCGGCCGGCAGGGGGATGGACTCACTACTTTTTCGGACAGTGTGACCTAAGATCCCTGAGACGGTGGTTCAACCCGGAGTCTGTGGTGCTGTCACTCAGATCAGTGAGAGTGATACTTGTCATCAAGAATACTTGCTTTGGAGTAGGGAGTGTGGTATAACAGGTCACTCCCCAGTATTCAAACTCCCTTGCAGTTATATCATCAAGGATTTAGCCTTTTTCTGTGCACCCTGGCTTGGGGTTTTGGAGATGCCTAAAGCAGTATTTTGAAGATGGGGTGTGACCACACATGCTACACAGGGGTCAAATAATTATTTAGGCAAAAAAGAGTGAATGCAGACAGATACTAACACTGTCACTGTCAGGGAGAAGACATTTAATGGAAAGGTTCCTACTCTGAAGACACTCATTGTTCTCAGCTAATGCAATGTTTGCACTGTCTTTGTCTTGGAACTTATTCATGTGCCCCTACTCTCTCTCCCTCAAGGCCTGGTTATCTGCTTTCTGTCCATTTTGTGATTAATGTTATCAATGAATCCTTGAAATCTGGTCTTTTTCCTATGAGCTTAATGTCTACTACTAGTAAACCATATTAAAAAGCCCAATCTGGACCCACAGCTACAGTATGTTGTAATTTCCAATTTACCTTTTCTTGCCAAATATTTTGCAATGGACATCAGTGGCACAATTACATTTTATATGTCATTCAATGAACTCTTTGAACCCTTGCTGTCAGTTTAGAAAGAGACAATACTAATACAGCTCTTGTTAGGGTAGTTCACACTCATGCCACTGACTTCTGAAATAATGTGCAGATTTTGGTAGTGTCAACCAGGGCATCTTACTTCATCATATGAAGAGTTATAGGGATCTCAAGTGTTTTCTTCTTTGTCTTAGCTCTTATTTGGCTGCCAGGCACCAGTTTCTAAATTATGACACTTCTAAAGCTGTTGTCATGTCAATTTCCACAGTCACCTTTCTGTGTAAGGTTTTCATTTTGCCCCTTAGCTTTGCAAAGTTGTTGTTGGTGGTATTGAAATCAAGTCCTCGATGACATTTAGAAACCTAGGTGTTACTTTTGACCCTGAGTTGTCATTTGAAGAGCATTTTAGGAGCATCACAAGGGTATCTTTCTGCCACTTGACAGCAAAAGTACAAAAATAGAACCTTTTTTCTTTCTTTAATTGCAGAATCGGAGTAAAACTCCAAAGTCGTATGCAAAGTCATGTCTAACCATCTGTTTTTTCTTCACAGGGTGGGATGTATATTTTCCAGTTGTTTGATTCATATGCAGCCAGCGGAATGTGCCTGCTGTTCGTAGCAATCTTTGAGTCTATATGTATAGGCTGGGTATACGGTAAGAATCATGGTGATGCCCTGTTAATGCGTAGGTGACTAAAGAATCGATTGGTGCATACTTGTGCCAAATTGTGTAGCTTTCTGTGTATGTTCAAAAGAATAAATATAATATTATATTGTTAAGATAGTGTCAATGACAAAAATCCTGTAATGATGGAGAGACGTACTGCATGTTTTCTTCTCTACTAATCTTATTATTGTTGTTTTGGTTCCCTCTGCTGGTCAGTTACAATATATTCCCTTTTGGTGTGATTGTAAACGAAAGTGATAAATGTAATGGCTTTCTTACACAAATGTAAATTGCCTCCTTTTGACTTCATTTCTTATCTTTTTAAAAGTTCTAGCACATAAATGTTTCACGGATGACAAATAAGATAACTTTACTTGGTATTGGTAACAAAGTTTATTTACTAATTTGTTTTAACTTTCTTGGTTAAAATGTTTTTTTTTTAACAGGAAGCGATAGGTTCTACCAAAATATTGAAGATATGATTGGATATAAGCCAGTGTTTTTTATTAAATGGTGTTGGATGTTCTTAACTCCAGGCATCTGTGCGGTATGTTGAAAAGTTGATTGAAATCTTTTTCATTTTTCTACATCTGGAAGTTAATGCATCTGAAAGACTGAGCTGAGTGTTGCTTTAAATTCCCCAGCTATGAATAAAAAGGATTTCGGAATAGGTGTATGCACCAAGTGAGCTCATTTGAGTTAAATACTTGCTTCAAGTGAGAATATTAAGGTGCAAGTAAAATCAATTCATAGATTGTTAAATGTTTCTGAAATGTGTGCATAAGGTTGAATCCTCTTTTACATTTGTTTTTTATTGCTTTTTTATTTCAGGGAATCTTTCTGTTTTTCCTAATTAAGTACAAGCCTCTAAAGTACAACAATGTTTATGTGTATCCAGACTGGGGATATGGGATAGGCTGGATGATGGCTCTGTCATCCATGGTCTGTATTCCTCTGGGCATTATCTTCAAACTCTGGACAACAGAAGGAACCTTTTCAGAGGTAAAGAGCATTTTTTAGTGGTTCAACACAAATGCATACTTTTATTTGTTACGACAAATGTCTAGGGGTAAAGGGGTGTAATATTTAGGATAGTTTTTGGAAGCAGGTGGGTTCTGGTGAGGGACTTAGGAAGTGTGATAACAAGTGGCGGCGCTAAAGTGATGATTTTAAGGTGAGTGGTACACAATAACACACAGGGAGAGGAAACTAGAGCAGTGCCAAAGAAAAGAAAACAAACAAAAGAGCTGAAAGTGAGGGAAAACTGACCTAACTACAAAAGAAAACCAGAAACACTCGGTCTTCGGCATCTTCAAACACCCTAGCTAACCTTCACTGACTACCCAGATCCATACAAGACAAAACGGCACTCAGCCCTCCTAAACTAGTGTCACTAATACAGAGATCAACTACATGTGCAGAATGTACCCAACAACCTAAATACCAATAAGGGAAAACGAGCGTAGACACAAGTAACAGGGTACAAAAGAACACAGAGGTTGATACATTACGTCTGGGCAAGGTAAGGGCGAAATGCGAGGAGACGAACACAAACCAACAAAGCCGAAGCTATACGAAAACACACACACGAAGCGAAACAAACGAAAACGAAGAAGTGAAGCCGAAGCAAAACCAAAAGCAAACCAAAACCGAAGCCCAAGCCAAGCCGAGCAGGAATGAAGTGGAACGAAAGGCCCCTTCATTCTGAAAACCTCCAAGTTATATACTGAATAAGCTGAGTTCTGATTGGTCGAGTATTAATTGAAGATGACGTAATACGGGAACAATGGTGTAATGATGGACCAATGGGGGAGGGAGGACAATCAAAGTGCGGAACATAGCAACAAAAATACACATGGACCACACACTGGGACGTAACACCCCCACCCATAAAAACAAACATCTAATGTTTGTTAAAGCAAGAGGAAAAAAACAGTAAGCTATACTCTACCCCCTGCCAGGTCATTTCCTAAAATAAATGTTACCCCTTTAACAGGTAGCGAAGGACGTACCCCAACTCTACCAAACCCCTTACACAAACGTTCACACAAATACACAAGTGAACTACGAATACCAATAAGGGAAAACGAGAGTAGACACAAGTAACAGGGTACAAAAGAACACAAGAACACAGAGGTTGATACAATACATCTGGGCAAGGTAATGGCGAAATACAGGATAACACAAACAAACGAAAGTACGAGGAGACGAACACAAGCCAACAAAGCCGAAGCTATACGAAAACACACACAAAGCGAAGCCAAAGCAAAACCAAAAGCGAAACGGGACCAAAGTTAAACGAAAGGCCCCTTCATTCTGAAAACCTCCAAGTTATATACTGAATAAGCTGAGTTCTGATTGGTCGAAAGTTAATTGAAGATGATGTAATACAGAAACAATGGTGTAATGATGGACCAATGGGGGAGGGAGAACAATCAAGGTCAGGAAGTGCGGAACATAGCAAACAAAAATACACATGGACCACACACTGGGGCATAACATGTATGAAGTGTGCTTTAAAAAAAAACATGCTTTAAAAAAATGCTTTATTGCAGTACTGTATAACTGTAGTTTCTGCATGGCATGTTTACGTCTGTATCTTACCGTTGCTAAGTCTAGAGAATGGTGCAGAGAAAAAAATAATGAAAGGCTGGTGTATAAAATGCTTTGTCAAAATATAGTATATTGCTTTAAATTTGTGTCAGCTACATGCTGTGTGATGAGAAAAAAAGACAGAATACAATATACAGTAGGTCCAATATGTCATCTAAAGAATTTTTTTTGTTTCCTGGCACACCTGTAAAATTAGTGAAGAAGCCCATTTCTGATGATGAGCAAAGGTTCTTTTAAAAACGTAATAGTCAGGATCTACAAGCAAATATTTGAACAAAGAAGAAAAGGGGAGTCTATATAAAAAAGAAAGAAAAAAGGTCCTATGTTTTCTCGTTTGCAGTGTGAAATAATATATCTATAGGATGTACTGTGTGATTGTTAGCAAGTTAGCAAGCAAACCCAACTCAAATGTTTATCAGATGCAAGAGGAAAATTGAGGAAATATTTAAAGTGTTGGAAAGTTTGTTTCTTTCTTCAGAAACTTATTTTTTTTTTGTGTCTTGATTTCAGAAAATTAAAAAGCTAACCACTCCGAGCTCAGATCTGAGAATGCGAGGTAAACTTAGTGGGAGCTCATTGTCCTATGCAGTAAATGACTGTGATGCCAAACTGAAAGGGGATGGGAATATCTCCACTATCACAGAAAAAGAAACACATTTCTGAAAACTACTACAAAAAGGAAGTGAAATGACTTGTTTTTTTATTTTTGTAAAAAGAAATCAAATATAGAGACACGCTTGTTTTGCAAACTATTAACAAGTTCATTTTTAAAATATGCATTATGACATAATTAAAAAGGTGACATTTTGTTAATTGTAAAAATAAATGATAATATAAACATTTCATGATATTAGTATCCCATTGTAATACCTGTGACACTAGTAAGTATTTACTGTTAGAATGATATCTATGTAAAATGTGTTGTAAAACTTTTATACCTTTGATTATTATTGAAGAACTCTGTATAGATACAGTATGTTTCTAATTTGTAGATCTACTCAGACCATTCCAAATTTAAATGTATGTCTACGGGTTGAGAGATGATTGTTTCCCCTGCTGTGGGGAAAGACCTACTGTAGTGTAATTCTTGGGTACAATTCCTGTTCTTGTGCTTAGTCCTTCTTCATCAGCATTTCCATTGTTTGCTATCACTCGCAGGGCGAGTTTGGAGAATACTATTTTTCCTAGAAATTTTATAAGACAGGATTCTTACATTACACATGATTAAACTGAGTTTAATCAACGCTGACAGTGGTAATGCAGTTTTCCTTGATTTTCTTCAAACTGTGGCTCCGATTACTCATTTTAACATTTGAAAGTCATCTTTCTTTTAAAAAAAAGGTTCAGATTGGTGTACCACATGACTTTGACTTTGTTTAATTTTTCTAGTACTAGCCTCATGTGCATTATTATATTCAGGGAAAAAAAAAATAGTTTGGTTAGTTTTAGTCAGTTTGCACCGGGTTAGGAAACCTCATCTCAGGATGATGATGCTTCAAGCACATCACTGATGTTTATTTGTGTAGCAGGAGCAGAGCTGCAACGTAAAGAATTTACTAAGAACTCTGTACACATGCATACTCCTTTGGTGTGGTCTACCCTCTCATGCAGTTTTAACAGAAAAGTTTTGCTTGTAAATGTGCGCACTTAACATCCATTTAACATTTTGTTGTAATTTTTAAACAATTCTGGAAATTTTGTGTACTCTCACCCAAGATGAAAACTTTTTTTGAAAACAAAAATGTCTGTGAAGACTTCTGATATGTTATACAGCAACTTGTCTTTTTGAAGTTTGTTTGTTGTATGTACTGTATGTTTTACATACAGATTTTGGTGTTCATAGGGCACAAGATTTTATTGTCTGCTTACATTTAAAAATAAATATTAAAAAGGAAAGAAAATTAATGTTCACTAGCTCTTTCTGTGCCTGTGTAGGTTTAAAAATAGGATAAAGTCCAATGATGTACTAGTACATAATTTTGTTTAATAAATGTTTTGCATTTTTGCATTTTTGTTGTATAGATTGTGCTACCACATCAAGCAAAATGCATTGGTCTGTTCCAGCTCTATAAATAAGTAAAACTGAAAATGCAATTTCTTAATTGCAGTTTCTTTGCATTCACCTATCTGAGTTTCAAGATGTGAAATGTCTTTAGCTCATATCTTAGAGCCCACTGAAACAGATGATGTGTATCATCCATTGGTTTTCACCAGTTCAAGTTGTTTCAGTGTGGCAGATTCTAGATGTGCGCTTTTTTCTTGATTTAAAAATTTACAGAATTTCGGAAGTCCACCCTTCTTGTGTAAAATCATGTTTGCAACATTAATTGGTTAGCCCCTTCAAAGAGTGGTTGATTTCTCATGGAAAGTAAACATGTGAATGGTTCCCTAAAGATGAATTTCTAAGAAGCAATCCTGAAAATAAATGAACTTAATCAACTGTTTCGTGCACCACTCTGAGAAACGTCTTTGATAGTATCAAGATGCACTTTAAATCACTAGTGATTCATCAGTATACAACAGTATATGATGCAGTTCTTACTGTTAATGCAAGTTTTATTTTAATGCAAAGTAGGAACAAGAGGATTATATACAGAAAATCCTTTTGGCCCTTAAACAATTATCTGCTTTTTCTGAATCGACCACAAGAAATGCTATTGCCTTGTTTTGGGTTAACCGAAGGGTGGGTTCCCTGGTTTCTTCTCCTTTTGAGAAGATCAGCATTGTAAAAAGAACTAGAAAAATATAACTATAAAGCAGCAAAGGTGGAAAAATGAATACTTTATTGTTTTATTAAAGCAATGTTAATGTGAAGCTTTTAGCTTTCTGCATTGCAAAATAAAGAGGATGAATGTACAGTAGTAGCTTTTGGCACTGTTTTTCTCTTGAGTGATGAATAACAAAAGGTTTTCTGTTTTTCTTAAAAATCTAAAATAACACGTTAACACATATTTAATTTTGAATATATTGTCATTGAAAAGATGAATGTTATTGATTTTGTATGAAGTTGTTTAAAGAAGTAAAGACTTATGAGATTTACTTATTTTGCATATAAAATATATCTTTTATGTAGTGTTTTACAAACATGAATGTAAGGAAAAACGAAAGTGTGTAACTTGAAAGTTTGTTAACTCTAACGGATAGTTTAACACATCAGTAAATTGTGTATGTAACCTCAACCTACTGAATTACTACATTAATTGCTCTGACTGATTTGCTATTTTGTTGACTTCAACTTTAATTCATGAGATTTTCCTGGATATTCTTGATAATTTCCTTACTTAGTGGATTGACTGTTCATAAAGAATGTTTTCAGTTACATTTTAGTAACAGTTATGTCCAGAACAAGTGATATTAAACTCAGATTGACTCTATTGACTGAGTCAACTTCCATAAAATACTGAAACTGAGAATAAGGCAATGGTTGTGCTGATGTTTGTGAACACCAAGTTTACAAATCAACCATTACAAATATTGTGATAATATTCAAATAGATCTTAAGTGGCTTGGGCACAAAATAAATCTTTTGGTGGGAGGACTGAATTATTTAATTAACGATGATCTTTTCCAAGCTGTCAACACAAAACCTGCTTGGAGAAAATGGGAGTTTGTAAGGAACTTTTATACACAGGAAGTGCAAAGCTATGAAACTTGAGATTTTTTGTTTTGTGTTCGCTGTTTCAAATTTGGTCATTACACTGGCGATTTACTATCTTTTTGTCATTAGAAAATGTGATTGTGAAAGGTTTGTTGGTGTCAAAACTGCTGTTAGTTTCTAAAGAGAGATTTACCTGTGAAAAACAAAAGTAAAACATTGTATTATTTGAAACTGCATTTGATCCGGTCTTTTCTATTTCTCTCCATATCTCTTTGAAATTGCTAAAAGAGTTACCAATTTTTTGTGTACTTCTGCTGCTGATTGCTGCAAACAAAGCCTGCATACTGTAGATCTAAGGTAATGAAATACACTGCAATGTAATCAAAGTATAGAAGCTAAAGCTACAAAGCTTAAGCAACAGAGCAATACTGAACCCTAATGGAATGCATTTGATATTTAAGCAGAGACGATAACCCTCCATAGAGTGCATAAGCACTGCACTGTCAGGAGTGGGAGAGAAACAGGCCTAGTATACAGTACCTCCTGTGATTGCTTGACAGTTCACTGCCTGAGGCCAAGCCAAGACCAAAGACAGAGAGGAAAAAATGTGGTCTGAGGATAAAATTTACTAAGAACATGCTCCTGTATTTATAGATACAGGTTGCTATACGGTGCTTTAAAGGAGGTTTAGCATCCTGGTAACTATGGCAACTGTGAAACTGGGTGCTGGCAGAAAAGTGTCACATGACTCCAACATGAAGATGGAAAACACAGTGGCACTCAGCAGTGTACACAGCAGTACTACAGTCTAATCCAGTCCCCGGTCTTTTACTTGAGTGATCTTCTGTCTTCTGTTGTTATTGTTATAATTAGTAGTTGTACATTACTATCTATTTTAACAGGAGTCATATTAGTAGTTGTCTGATGTTTAAACAGGACCACTCATCTTCTAACCCACCGGGTCTTCTCTGTTTTGGAAGTTGGCTACAGCCACCTCTTTAATTATTTCACTGGTAATTAATGGGACCAATATGCTGCTGATTCTGTTGCTGTTCAACACGACTCCTTATCTTCAGATTACCCTGACTTTTGGAACTAGAGACCCCTAAAAACAAAGGGCAACTTTTGAAACATCCAAATATAGCCTCATATCTGGCTGGCTGACAAATTTCAACAACTTTAAAATGGTACACATTTTTCTGCCAAATGCTCCAACATTATCTGCCTTTTTTATGCCTATATGGGATTGATTTATAGATGTTCAACGATTTATAAAGGTAAGAGTGTAATATTGTGCTACCGAGGTGGGACTTGGATGGCGATCCAAGAACGAGAAAGAACCCAACAACAGACCGCAGCGCCACATCTGCCTGCACCCACTTGCAACTGCCCAGCACACCTGCACGCTGGTGGAGCCGGATTCCAGAGATAAGCATTCCTAGACAACGAGCAAGACAGTCGACATGCAGTCAAAGGGAAAGTGTCAGGCAGCCAGACAATCTGCACTGTGCAGCTATGTACACAGACAGCTGCAGAGCCGTAAGCTGGAAAGAAAACATAGGGTTAGTACCAACAACTGCAGCATGTGAGTAAGCCAGGGAAACACACAGACCAAGCTCAAGGGGCTCAATGTCAGAGCACAAAGCCCTGTCAGATATGGGTCTATATTGAACACCACATCTGACCAGGGTGTGGCTGTCAACCAAGTCCAGGTGTTCAGGGACTCCAGGCAGTCCTCTTCCATGGCAGCTGAATGGGGATGCTGGAAGGTGATGACATAACTGGCTGACGTGACACTGCCAGTTTGTGACATTACGAAGAGTAGTTTAGCACATTAATACGAGGCCCCACATGAGGGACCAGAGTGCTAAAACTTTCAAAACGTGTAAAACCAACCAGCTCGCTAAAGATGATTAAATTAGGAACTTAAGCTACAAAATTTCCAAAATGATGCAACATTATGGTGTGAAAGTTATTAATTATGTACTGAATAATCCCTTCAGTATCCGTTTGTTCACAAATATTGATATATTCTTAAAATAAACTTTGTGTTCAGCTGTACATGGGCTGTAAAAAATCGTTTTTTAATCTGTATTGGAAAAGCATGTTTTCAAATCTTGAGACTGCATTACTCCCTTAGGAGGTTTGATTTAAATTTAATCACACTCATTTCTTTAAGATAAATCAAGTCAATCAATCATTTCCATCATTAGGTTCAGATGTATGCAGTCTTATTTAAATGTGTGAATTAAAGCCATTATAATGATATTTACCTGTATTTGCATGCCACTAATTAAGCTTCACATGCAATCAAAGATGCATATATTATTTAATGAAACTCTTTAGAATTTAGCATACAGGTAAATGCGGGTGTCTAAATCGCAGTAGGTTCCATTGTTTGCATGAAATGACATTTTAATTTTAAGTTAATTTTCTCGCCTTTTAAATTCTATTCTACCATGGGACCAAACGATAACACTGTTTGATCATTTATGAAGGATCAAAATCACCACAAGGCATTATCATACATTTTACCCTTTTCTATTTTTATCTTTGTGTTAAACACTTCACACCACTTTGCTGAACACTGTGGGTAAGCCATAAGGCTCATAATAAGGCTACTCAAACAAATATATTTACATTTTGATTTAAAAGGTTTAACTGTGTCAGAAATTCTAATTTAACATTATGTTCCAACAATAAGAAGCTTAATAACTTCTGACCCTTTCCAACTCATTTTAAACTTCCAATTAGTCCCTTTCAGAATTCCACAATGACTGAAAGTAAAATCCTCTTGCTGTGAAAAACCGCTGAAATTCAACTCCAAAAATATTGATGATTTTCATCAGTGCAATGTTGTGACTTTTGAGGTTTTTTTTAATTTATTAGTTCACTTCACCTTAAGTTTGGTCTGATAACTTGAATCTAATGAATTAAGCACATACCTTTTTAAGCCTTGCAAATGGGTTTTACTTTCCCATAAAGCCCGAGTATCAGAAAATAGATTAAAAACTATAATCCTAACAAACAGCAGGTGGCAGCAGATTCAAAATATTGAGAAAAAGTCGATTACTGCAGAGCTGTTTTGCTGGAATGTTTCTGAACACAGAAGGATCAGAGGGTTAGAAATGCATACAATGCTGTTTTCTTTAAGTATTTTAAAAATAGTTTCTAGAATGCTCCCCTGTTTTAGAACAAAATACATTTCAAAGACACACCACAGTACGTGATACATTATTTGGTGTTTGGTGTTGGTTGATTCAGTAATATTTAGCTACAGTAAAAGGAACATTGACGTAGTTAAAGGAATGCTGATGAGAGACCTTAACACTCCTGTCCTTAAAAATGCTGGAAAAAAAAACGTTAACATTAATTTTTCAGAGATGTTCATTGACATTTGATTGGATGTTACTGTTTACAGGTTTATTTATCCTTTTCCCCAGGAGATATAATGTACACTCCCCGAGTCTAAAAAAACAGAACACCAATGATAAATACAATTTTCTGTATTTCTTCACAGTTCACAAGAAGAAAATGAAAGGAAGAATGAATGGTCATTAGTGCATTTACTACCTTATTTTGGTCAGTTTTGTATTTGTATTCAGGTTTTAGTACATGTCAGCTACCTTACTGCAAATGTAATCTCTAGCTCTGGTTTCTATAGAAACTGCACAATGGCGGGGAGCATGGTGAGAAGGCAATTTCCTTTATAATGAGTGAGCAACACAAAGAAAATGGTGGAGAGACCTGAAGCAGGTCTATGTACTGTAGTTGGTGGGAAAATCGTAGAGAGGGGGGGTGGTTTCCTTTTCATCTTTTACGTAATAAGTTATAATATGTTGTTCTGTCTTGGGGAGGGGGGCAGGGGGCTTATTGTTGTCACAGGACAAAAAGTGCCCTAGACTGTGATGGATGCACTCCATAAGTAAAGAACAGAACATACTGTACAGTACAGCATTTGCAATGGGTGAATTGATACGAATGAAAAAAATGAGATCATTTAGTGTCCTTTATGAACGTTCTTCCTTTAGCCAGTAGCTTCAAATACTGATTTGACATTGGTCATTTAATCAGCCTCAGGAATTGTACTAGTAAAATATTAAAAAATCGTTTTTTTAAGTACCCTGTTACAAAAAGCATATAGCAGCATTACTGTTGCCAGCCTTACAGTCCTCCATTTTGACCTGTTTTGTAAAAAAAATGCTATATAGTTTACAAGCCATTTTTTTTTAGTTACAATTCAATCTTATATCTAATCCTTAATTTTGTCTAAATATGGAGCTGTTTACTAGCCACTGCTACATCCTAATAATTACACTCAAAGATGCACTTAGGCCTGCCTGGAAAATCTAGGATTCTGACACAGCATATCTCAAGAACTGAGAGGACCTATGTACTGTACAGTATTTATTGCCTCATCATTCTGTTATTTTAATGTGATTCTTATATAAAATGTGGATCCATATTGATTGCAAATAATGTCACAAACAGTCCTTTTAAAGTAAGACTTGTAAGTAAAATGTGTGAAAAGACGTTGTATGCACCCATGCACTTATATTTCATGCTTGATCGAGCCGAGTTCACAAAGTAATTGTAAGACCACAGCTCAGGAAACATTTTGGTGACGTATGTGGTGAGGCATAACAAGGTTTATCTTTAGATAAAAAGAAAAGTCTTCTTCTGTTATTACTAATAAACCAATGTAACAGAGACCTGGTAAATTCATGGATTAAGTCAACCTAGCAGTCATGACAGGTACTAGGGGAGAGGTGTCATATGTTGTCTGTAATGTGAGCCAGTTTAAACAAATGCTGGGTATTTTTGGACAAGGTTGTACAAAAACTCACCATTTTTGTACGTCTGCTGAACGTTTTGTTTACTTCTGTGCATATTTAACAGCGCAGCAGCGATTGGTTTCCACTTGATTTAATAATGATCTAAGATGACTCATTCTTTCTTTAAACCATCATTATCATATAAAGTCATAGCTGCATGTCACATGGAAATTAGAGAGTGCATGTAAGAGACATCAGCTGACCATTCCTTTGCCCTTTGGTGAAAAATCATAACACCCATACGAAAGGAGAGCAACTGCTGTCACTCTGTAAAGACAATGAAAGCGTTAGAGCACTAGTTTATGATAATGCAGTTCGTCACTGTGGGCTGCTCTGTCAGAAGCTATAAGGACCTTATTGAAGTAACTACAAACAGATACTGTATGTGAGAGGCAAAGAAT